TAAAATATATGAAAAATTGATGTGGGTACTCAAATGAAAGGTCTTGATGAGTGTAACATTGAGATGAGCTTATATCTTAAAAAAGGTCAATAGATCACAAGATACAAGGTCATTTCTTAATTATATATCTAGAGATAGATCATTTTCGAATGCAGCCTAAATACTTATCATCATTAATTGACTATAGGTGAGAATGATGTGAAATCTTGAAAAGGCATAAATTCAAATCAAGACCTTTGTAATGACACTAAATTTTACTAAAAAAACCGATTTTATCATATGACTATCCTGGACACAAAATTTTTCTTATTCTCTTACTAATATAGATAATTTAAAAAATTTAAAGTATTGAGACGGAAAGTTTAAACTTTTTATGTTCTTCAAGTTTCAATGACTATTAATCTACTTTAAAACACTATTTCAGGTGGACTATTTGCGGTAAACAAATTGGTTTCGTCCCGAGGACAGCGACCGTATTTCAACACTGTCAGACTTGTTTTTTATAATAAATAGACGAAATTTCGGAAAGATAATTTACAGAATTTTATTTTCTTTAGAGTAGTTTCATCAGCGGTAAAAAATTTTATAGCTTCTATGAGATCATTTAATCTAAAAACTTACTCTTTACTCAAACTTTTTTTTTCTAATCTCTCGGCATCAATTTGTTCCGATTTTATTGATCGTTTAGTTAGAATAAAAAAAGGTGGCTTTTGCTGAAAAAAATCGCGTTTTAAAAATTAGGTTCACATCAATGATCATAAAAATTCTACATCAACTAATTTCATTTATTATCCTTTATTATTGTCGAAAAATTGTGTAAATTTAGATAATTCCGAAAGTTACACTAAAAAAAAAAAATAAATTTAAATTTAAATTGTTAATAATGAATAATTCAAATTTTTCCACCGCACTGGCAAAGTATATATTTTTAATAAAACTTTTTGCCTTTAATGTAATTTGTGAATAAAAAAAAAATTTGTTTCACCAAAAAATAATCAAATTTCGTTGGAATTTCAAACAAAATCTTTTAACTAAATTTTCCATATAAATTAAAATTTCTCGTATAAAGTAAAAATTTAATAATATAAAAAACGATCGCACTGGACGATAAATTTATGGAATAATTGGGGTAAAATAGAAATTAAAAGGGGATTAAATTATCAAGTGTATCATCGAAAGCGTATTTGAAGACAATCTGTTTAATGCAGTTACTGGAGAGACTATTAAAATAATTTGTGCTGGTAATAGCCTTCTCGTTGGGGCAGCAGACTAGCCGGGAGGGCACTTACCCGTGCAAGATTTTCCATCAGGCGATAAAATCCGTTCATCACCGTTGCAGGCGCAAAAATGACTGCCATTGGTGTTCTCACAGACTTCACTGCATCCTCCGTTGTTGTCCTCGCACTCGTTTACATCTAAACAAAAGATTCACCGTTAATTAAATTTTTTCACCCGCCTCTTGTTCATTCTATTCGTTTACGTCTAAACAAAAGATTTAGTTAATTTTATTTTTATTTACATTTTATTTATCTATTTGTTTGTCTATCCATTTAAATACTTTCACCATTTTTTGGTGCTAAATTAAATCCTTTATTTTATTTTATTTAACCGGCTTTCAATTGAATCTCTTCCAATACAAACTGTTACTGTCACTGTAATCGTCGGCAGACTCGCGAATAAAAAGAAATGGAATAAAATAAAGTAAAAATAACAACCGAATTTTCTGACAAAGCTTTTTCCACACAACTGATTTTTCTTCTTCCCCATTATTACATTCGACGCTTAGTCGTCTAACCATCAGCTACAATAATCTTTGTTCAATTTCTCAACAAGCCTCAACTCTAGGCTCTCCATTATTACATCATAAATCACTTGAATTTTCTAGCTATCGAAAATTTTTTTCTCTTATAAGTTATAAACATTAAATAAATAAAAAAGTCAATTTAATCCACTATAAATTCTGTAATAAATGTTTTGTTGTCAAAAAAATATGACGGAAAAAAATTGCTTTTAAGAATGGTCAATTAAAAAAATTTTTTTGCGCTGATGCAGGAATTTAATTAAAGAAATAAACTTGATTTTTTGTGAATTTTAATGGGATTATATATGTAATTTATTTTTCGTCGAGCTGTGAGGAGAAAAAAATTTTAATAGTCCTGAATTTAATAAGTGAGCGTATGAGAAAGTATCAGTGTAAATAATAATTATAATTATATTTTTGGGAGAAGAAGGGTTGGAACAAAAAGACTTGTCAAAACCACGTGATGTTAGGTCGAAGGGTTTTGTTGGAATACCTTCTGTTAGCATGAAATTACGCTACCCTTCTCAAGTGGGGGTGCTTTGGGAAAGGTAAGTACTGACGATGAATATTGGGCCTTGAAATATTTTACGCACACACATTTATAATTTTCAACGTTAGACCTTTCTAATAATTAATTTAAAAATTTTTGTTAAATACCCGTGCGAAGCCGGGGCGACTTGCTAGTTACTTATTATAAATCGACTGTTATTTATTACAGTTTACTTTTTTTAAAAAAAATTTTTTAGCATAATAATAATAATAATAATAATAATAATAATAATTTTCTCTATATATTTTTGGAGTTTGTTGGGAAAAAAAATAAGCATTAAATTTTAATCAACTTGGGATAAGTAATTTTTTTTTTTAACTATTGTTAGAAATGTTTTAATACTTTAAATTAATAAAATAATAAAAAAAATCAATACTTTGTCATTTGAACCAGAGATTAATGTACCAACAGAAGTTTAATTGTAGTAATTATAATCTGAAATAATAAAATAACAATTAAAATTGATGAATAAAATTTAATTAAAGATTCAAAATAAAATTTCAAAAGATATGAAATACAAAATAAATATCAAAAGTTTATAATTAAAAAATTAATGCAATCATTGGCCTGAAATAAATTTACCAACACAGGTTGATCTCGTCGACTCATGATACCCTTTGGGACACGGATCAATTTTCTCATCAGCTGGCTGATCATTAAGTTCGTCCTGTTGAGCGCACCGGTAAGAGCCTGGTGTATTTATGCACCCGAATTTGCAAACTTCGTTTTGCAGATCCGGAACCGCGCACTCATCAATGTCTGCAACAAATTTACAGCCCTTATAAATAATTAGAGGGCATAAATTTCAAGCTTTCAATACATAATTACAAATTTATACAAAAAAAAATTGTAACATTTTTTTTGAAATAGAATAAAATAAATAGTAAATAACCTTGACAAGTTTTCCAGTCGTCTTGCAACATAAATCCATCGGGACAAAGACAAAAAACTCTTCCCTTTGTTGAAAGACAAGTATGAGAGCATCCTGCATTGTTTATCGCGCAAGGACTCGCATTACCGCACGTATGATTGTCAGCTGAAAGGATCGTGCCCGGCAGGCCCTCGCACCCACACGAGTATCCTGGCTCCAAGTTTTGACAGCTATCTTGACACGGCCCCCGTCCGTTGTTCTCCAAGCATTCATTCAAATCTTTAAATAATTTATCACCCCAATAAAATATGTACAATTCTCTTTCTCTTCTCCTGTTTCCTTTAAAATTCGGGGATTAAAATGGTTTTACCTTCACAGTGAGACTTGTCTTGTGCATATTTCATCCCTTGCGGACACTCGCATCGATAACTGCCTGGAGTATTCACACACTCGTATTCACATTCTCCATTTGCGTTCTCACATTCATTAATATCTAAAAAATTTATTCTGCTCTTTGATGAGTCCATTAAAAAATTTTAATTTATAAATAAATAATTTTTTTAATAAACAAAATACTTATTAAAAAAACATACCGTAAAAATAAAATTATTTTTTAAAGAAATTTATTTTTAATAAATGTCTTGCAGATAATTGCACTGTATAGAATTTTCTTAAGTTAATCTAGAGTAATTTTTAATTGATTTAATTACACTAGTAAAATTAACTCCGAGATAAATTTTATGTATATTATTAACGAAAAAAAAACTCCGTGAATAATTCTTAATTTTTTTCATTGACTGAAAATAAAAAAAAATTTGGAAAATCCAAAAATGCACGCCTCAGAATCTCATTTTCCATAGTAAAATTAATTAAAATAAAATACAAAAAATACTTTTAAATCTTTCGTAAATGTTGTTCTACAAGTGCGCCAGAAAATAAATAGAGACAATTTTAGTTCAAGAAATCGCTTGATTTTTGTAAGGCGACTGTAGAGCACAACCTCATCCGCTTTGCTTATGAGGCGTGCAATAATTAAGAATTAGAAAAAATAAAAAATTTTATATAAAATATAACGCAAAAAAAATTCGCAAGTATGATGAAAAAAAATTTGGAATTAATAAGACAATTGATAAATAAAAAAGTGTACGAAGAATGAAATAAAAAAATAAATATAGTGTTTTAGGTAAAAGGCATCCGTACCAATGCACTTATTATCCTGAAGATAAAAGCCCTCGTAACAAAAACAAGTAGGTTTATTGTCGACTTGCTTGCAAATCTGATCACAAGATGAACGGGAGCATATTTCACGATAGTTATTATTATTCTTGGGTGTACATGAAGGTACCGAGGCTCCGATCCATTGTCGGTTTTTGCACAACAGTCTTGTTGTATTTGACGACAACACAAAGCCCTCAGCGCACTCATAATTTGCCTCCAAATATTCCGCGTGTGGTTTTGACGACCTTTGTTATCGGACAGTGTTTTAATTACAATAACTTATTAATTATTTATTACTAATAAATTATAAACATACTGCCGAATATTAATTAAAAACTTACTTAACATATTTAATAAGAGCGTGAGGAACAACTGGCGCTGGAATAAATTTACCTTCCATGCAGGATACGTCCCCATTTGAATTATTCGCTAAAGTTTCACTTTTAATCATCGACTTATTAACATTTATATCAATATTATTACTACTATTATTATTACCATTTAAATTATTATTATTATTATTAGTATTATTTTCAAATTGATCGTAATTAGATATGATAGAGCTCCTGGAATTTATAACTTGCTGATGCAAATCCTTAAGCAGTTGCTGCTCGAAATTTTCATCATCGTAATTTTTAATATCGACGGATTTGAAAATCCTCTGGTAGTTTTTCCTTTTCAATTCATCAGAGTAGATTTTTTTCCTACCCTTCTTCAAACGCCGGATTTTCCCCCGGGATTTTTTATGATTTCTCATTCGAAACTTCTTTTTGATCTTGTCTTGTGCTTCTGAACCGACTAAACCCAATTTTCATTATGTTTTTAATTTACTTTCAGATATAAAAATAACTAAATACATAAATTATGCACTCACCCGGCTGGATTCTGTCCATTATTATTATTTTCCGAGGTGTTACCGTATAATTTTTAATTACTACGTCTATGTATTTATTAGTGTCATTTTTGAGCTTTATTCTCTTTTCGTCTGACAGAATTAACTTCCATCTACAATATTTAGATTGTTTATTTAAAAATTCTATTGAATTTAACACGGAAAGAACATAATAGCTTTAATTACAATTTACATTGATAAAAAAATTAAAATTACTCAAAGAAAAAAAATCTTTAACTGAAAAAACTAATCTTAAAAAATTTATGATTTTTAGTAAAGCAGAAAAATTTTTTTAATTGGTAATTTAAAAAGAAAATATAAAAAAAAAATTTTTTTATTGCAATTTTAAAATACTCTAATTATAAGATTATTTACAATCATTTATAGTAATTGATTGAATTTAGTAAAAGTAATTTTTTAAAAATTGTTTTCAAACATTTTAAGTATTACTCAAAGCAGAAAACTACTAAAAATTAGCATACGATTGTTTGAATAATTGCAGCAGTAATTATACCATAGAAGCTCTAAGTCTGAATAACATACTCCTATTAAAATATTATTATACCGAATAGTTTAATTAATTCCCTAAAATTTTACACTAAAAAAACAAAATTAACTTGGATTAAAGGGAGAACTTTTTAGAGAAAAAATAATTTTTAAACCTCTTGAATTAAAACAAAAAATTTTTAAACTAACAAACTTAAAAATATTCCTATCAAAATAAAATCAGTCAATAATACTCCATTTTTATATACTACAAAAACATTAATCTGTGCGTGATTTCTAGCAAGAGAACATCAGAAGATTATAAAAGTTTCTCCGAACAGTAATTCCAAGAAACTTTTTTCCTAACAGCGAGTCTAGTTACCGAGTAAAAAAATAATTTTCTCAAGAATAACATACAAGCACGTGATAACAATATAATCCAGCCAAAAAAGTATACAACAAAAAACATAAAATTCTTACGTCGGTTCATCGAAATCTTCGAGGCGCTTAAACTTCTCAGTGGAAATGCTATCACGATCACGGTACTCCGGCTGTTGAGTGAGCCCTGGAAAATAAAGGAAAAACAAGTCAAATAAAGCAAGATAAAAATAAGTTGATTCGTTCTTTTGTATACTACTTATTCCTAAGTGATCACCGCCCCCGGTATCAAGAAGGAGAGCCGGGTGAATTAGAATAAAAAATAGAAGATAAAAAGGGATGAAAAATCTTTAAAACTAGCGACTACTGACAGGGTATTCAAGATCCTGCTTGACAACAATTCGTGAAACTTTTCATCCTTCATTTAGTTATTTTCCTCTTCCTCTTGCGCTTCTCCTCAACTGAACTTGTTCGTCGAGAATTGGTCTTGCTTTTGGTCGTGATTTTCCCCGGTTAGATCCTGTTCCGTCGTTCATCGTTGATCGCTCGTCGTACAAGTTTTGGTACATTCCGTAAGTTGCAAGTTTAAGTTTCGCAAGCTCGTTCGATTCGAGAGAATATAATCTCGGTATTATAACCATTGAATTCTGTAAGGCTTGTCATCGCGACTATGACGTAAAACACCTTTTATAGTTAATAGAAAAGTAGACGATGAAGTAGATCTGTGATATATAACACCAGTTTATTCACTTCGGGTCTCGTTAAACTTGATACCAAACTTTTCATTATTGGATTTTATATACACAAGTTAATTTAGTGATGCAATGCAGATTTAAAAAAGATCCAACTGGAGATTAACTGTGTCACGGTGTAATTTCGCAGGACGAGGACTAAATTTCTAGTCAGAGTCTTACTAAGATCAATATCATTTAAAAGTTTAGCAATTGTCGAAAGCGAACCGTGAATAATAGCCAACGAGTTATATTATGGTAAGATTTTTAACTTAGACTAAGGCAAAAAAATATTACTACATATTCATAAATGAATCATGTATGACAGAAACTAAATAAACGCTAATAAAAGAATTCAATTAATCCAAGAAAAAAATTTTTAACCAAGAAAATTATTTGGAAGCAATTTTTTTTTAATTATTGAAAACCAACGACCTTGCAGTCATTATGTGACTGCCGTGACTTGTGAACTATAAATAAATAAAATTTTGCTTTATTAAGTAATGACTTTTGTTAAATTACACTGTACTTTCTTAAATATTGACGTTTTTGAATATATAAGCTCATCCCGATGTTACAATCATCAAGAGCTTTCATTTGAGTACCCACATGCATTTTGATATATTTTTCATATATACATATATATAATATATATAAATATATGAAAAATTGATGTGGGTACTCAAATGAAAGGTCTCGATGAGTGTAACATAGGGATGAGCTTATATCTTTAAAAATGTCAATAGTTCACAAAATACAGGGTCATTTCTTAATAATGTTAAATAAATTGCACTCTACTTTTTTAACTATTGACGTTTTTAAAGATATAAGCTCATCCCGATGTTACAATTATCAAGAGCTTTCATTTGAGTACTCACATGCATTTTCATATATTTTTCATATATACATAAATATAATATATATAAATATATGAAAAATTGATGTGGGTACTCGAATGAAAGGTTTCGGTGAGTGTAATGTCAGGATGAGCTTATATCTTTCAAAATGTCAATAGTTCACAAGATACAAGGTCATTTCTTAATTATGTATCTAGAGATAGAACATTTTCGAATGTAGCCTAAATATTTATAATCATACATTGACCATTGGTGAGAATGTACTTAGATTTTTTCCCTGGTTAAGACTAAGATGAAATAAAAAATACTTTTAGAATTATAAAAGACACGTATAGTAATTTCTTTTTACTAACAAAGTATTATGTTTTTTAGTTTTTACACTCTAGTTTAGTTCCTTCTTTCTTGTTACCGTGTCCTTTCTTTTCTTTCTTACAATTATTTACTCTTTTTTTAGGATTTTCTTTTTACTAACGAGGCAATTTTTCTTATAAAACGGGTTTCCTCTTTAACACACGCCGCCCTGAAGGATAAACTTTCGATGAATAGTTTTAAGCTCTGTTAAAAGCATGACTTTTTAAGCATTTTAATGCTGTAAAAAAAATCTAGTGGTTTAGTTTATCCTCCTTTTAGTCACCGACCTTTTTTTTACATCACTTGACATTATTCTCTTTCAAATTCTGATTTATTTTTCTAGGATTTTACCTTTCTTAATTAAGAAATAGATATTTTTTAGGCAAACTAAAACTAGGACATATAATTAGTTTTTTAAAAATTTGACTAGACTATTAAACATTTTTTATGCTTATAAAAATAACTAAACTATAAAAAAAAAATTTCATCCATCATTAAGAAAAAAAATATGATAAGTATCAAAAATAAAATATCTAAATATCGAAAGTTGATTGTATGGAAATCTAAAACTACATTTTGAACAAGATTAAAAAAAAATTTCAAATGTCATTGGAAATGTAATAGCCCCTTGAAACAATATTTTTTAGCGGAAAACCCGAAGCAATATTTTTATCAGTCCTTGTCGTTCGGATAAAAAAATAACAAATGTTTTTGGGAGGTATAAAAAAGTGATAGCAGCGCGATAGACATGTGTCTATTCGGGCAGTCAATCATGAGTGGTAGTAACAGCAACAGCGCAGAACCAGAAAGCAACGAGATCGGTAAACATTTGAGCTTATCGACTTATATTCCAAAATAACGACTCCACTGTATCGTTTACTTATAAATTATTGTATCTTTTTCCAATATATTTTCGTGAGCTACAAAAGAAGACAAAAGCTACTAAATTCACTCCAGACCAATAATTCCTCGATTTATGACTGTGATTATTAGTACATATATACTAGTTCATCGACTTTTTAAAGCCTAAAAATCTCAAGTAAAAAAAAACGTAAATTAGAGAAAAAAATTTCAATCAAATTAAGCAACAGTAAACACTGTAAAAATAGATGTGAAAATTATACTTTATCTGAAAAATAATAAAAATAATGGGTTGACAACACATAATGGAACTTTTCCATCAAGATCTTTTTTCCACATGAAGACTAAGTCGTTTATCCGTGTTTCTGTTATCTCATTGGTGCTTTTCATGCGTCTGAACATAAACTATTTTTCTCTTTCATTATTTTACTAAGAAAAACATTTTTTAGTCCAGCCTTTTTTTTTGCAACCCTTTTTTGATAAATCCTGTATATATATTTTAAATTACTTGCCGCTCAATTAACTTTTTATTTATTTTTTGGAGTTATCTGGCTTTGGCTGTAATTTCAGTTAAAAGTACAGTCGTCTCTGGCTGCAGGCTTTACTCGTGTATATTTATTTATGTTAAGATGTGAAATAAAGTATAATGTTTTGTTGGAGGATTGCACTGACGGCAACTCTCTGAGGAGGTTGGTTACAATGTTGAATAAATCGATAAACCACACGAGGATAGTGTAGAAACACTACAGATATACATCCATATCTATATACATATAATAGATGCATAGAATACAAACCCGGCATGGTCTGGTGACGATGTATGTAACATTTGAGAGTGGTTTTGAACTACCCCGGAAAGATCGACACATTAGCTTTGCTCAATTCAAATGTACTAAGTTAACAAATGTGGTTTATCGATTGTGTAATTTTAAACACTAACTGAGGACACTTGTTAACTCAGCAATGGTAATTTTATTTAAAATACTGCAGTCTGTTTGTTTTTGAAAGCAGATACAGTTAAATGCTTTTTAGTTTAGGTTTGTAAGTTTGACAGAAGTTTATTTGAGCGTAAAAGTGAAAGATGTAGAGCAGAGTCGAATAGATGTAAAGCTCAAGGGATTTTTTGGATGAAAGGAATCAAATGCGTAGCGAGGGTTCTTATTTAACGATCAGATTTGATCGAGATGGAATGAAAGCTCTGATATTCGAAGATTGACTTTCTCAACTTGAGATTAATTCTTTTGGAAATACTCGAGACTGTCTGTAATTTATGGTTTGACATAGAACGGGAATTGTTGATGAAAACGAACCAGATGAGTTTTATTATTGAGCAACCTTTTGCGGGAATAGAGTAAATATTATGGGATTCAATTAAATATTTTATGAAGTAAGTTATTTTATGAAATTGAGTGAATAATTTGTTGAGTGAAATAGAATACATTCCGTTTAAATGAATGTTTATTTGATTTGGTTGAATGTTTACTTGTTATAATGCATTTAGAGAGAATTTACATTTTTGTGGCTTGAAGTTAGTTATGAGTCAGATTTCATGAGATCGATTTTCATATAAAGCTTGAATAAAAGCTATAATTTGTATTTTAGCTTACGAGTTTGTACTTTAAATAAAGTAAATCTGAAATTTGAATCGTTGTCATTTTATCTTGTGGCTTTTGTCTAAAAAAAATTTTATAGTGTACCTTAATAGTACTACTTCATCACATCACACAGAAATTCTTGAAATTCATAGTTTTGATCTTTAGAAAAGGAATTTGTCTTCAAAGAAATCCCTCCCGGCGTGTCTTTATTACTAATTTCACGACTTTATTACAACCCAACCCGTTGCAAAAACATTCTGATGATTTGTTATGAACATTTTCGCATAATTACGAAATTTCATGATGATGATGGCAATGATAATTTGTACAATCAAACTTTCGAAAATTTTTATCAGATTGTAGTGAATAATTTCTTCCGCAAATCAACCTAGCGTAATTAGAATAGAAAGTAATTAAACATCTGTTCGGTAATAACTTCCGTTTATAATAAAAAGTATTTAATTTGATGCTATCAAGTGTCATCATTATATCTCAATGCACTTATATAATACTTTAAAAAATAATAATAACAACACAAAGAGGAAAAAAAATGAATTTAACTTAAGTTTGCTCTCGACGCTTTTAATAAACTTTTATTTTAATTGAAAAGACTTTTCTCATTCAGATAAACGATCTTATCAAATTCTTTTATACAAAATCAGAACAATTAAACAAACTTTTCATTTTAATTCAATAGACAGCGGCTTTGAGAATTTTTCTATTATACTTAAATATATTATCCTAGAAAAAAAAAAAAAAAACACTCAAGTACTCCGATAAATCACGAGGTCGTAGGACGTCTTATGAATATTTTTTTACATCAAGGTGATATCCATAAAAATTAAGTTTAATTTTATTTTATTATCTATTTTTTCTTTATAAAATTTCTAAGATTTGCCAAAAAAATGTTCTTAAAATTTATTACATAAAAATATCTCCTGAATTTTTTTTATTTATACCGAAAAAAAAATCAAACTAATGTAAGGACCAAAATCTTTAATCAATAAAATCATGCTAAAGAATCAGATCATGATAAAAAATTATTATATTAAATCAAATTTTCTTAAATTCAAAACAATTTTTTTTATATTTTAAATTTCGATAAAAAAATTCACCAAACATATCGCACTTTATCGACTGATTTAATAAATAAGATTTCACTAATGAATCTACCGAAAGCGCAATTTATCGTTAATAAATGTTGGATATTAAAATAAAAAAGTAGAGTGATAAATATCATCCCACGGTTTTATATAAAATGTAAAATGAAATTTATTCATGCAGAAATTTATTATGTAGATCTATTGTGTTATGTGATCTTGGTCCAGTAGCAGAGTAATTTTATTCAAGTGAGCGCTTTCAGTTGAGTTAACGACAGTACTTGTAATCCACGATTCAATCTCCGATATTTATTCTCCGGAGGTGATAACTACAACTGCACTACCGTGGGACCTTTATGTACTGCTAAATGTCTATATCTTTTATATACATCCATATACAACGGTACATCGTAGTATTCTAGTTTAGATTGTTCCGGTGGATTTAGAAATTGCCTTCATCTTCTCAATTCCATGTTCCATCATTCTCTTTGTGGTTTTAGTTGAATTTTGTCATGTGTAAATGTACACAAATCTTAAATAACAATAACAGTCACAATCTCCACTAAAATATTAATAGAAATAAATAAATAAACAATCATTATTATTTTACCTCATCCTAAAATATTTCAAGTTATGATAAAAATGTCTGCCCTAAATAAACATTAAATAACGCAGTAAAATTTTGTACATTAAATCGCGAGCCGAAATTACTGCTGTAAAGTGCAGCTGTCGTAACATTAAACTTGATGGTTTAAAACCGCGGGCTCAGATATATATTGTTGCTTTATCAATCAAATTCTCCGCGAAAAATCGAATTAAAAAATGTTATTTTTTTTTTTATTCATTCTGAAGTAATTTATGGAGTTAAGCATCAATCTCAATTTTTTTTTTTAGAAATTGACTTAATAATTCTGCTGTTTTGACAAAAAATAAATTTTTGCCAAAAGAAAAAAAAATAAATTCAATAATGTTTAAACTTTCTGAAAATGTTGCAGAATAATTAGATGGAAATTTCCGTAATATTATTTTTTGTGGACACAATTCATTTTACTTTTCTATTTTCAGAATCTTCAAGACATCCTCAGAATAATTATTTTCCATTAAATTAAATTTTTCCACCGATGCATTATTACATAAATTTTATTTTATACTTTTATTTATGTATTATAATATATGCAGTCTATAAACCGTATTCTTCGTCATTTGTATGCTCTGACTGCTTTTAAAATTTTAATATTCATGGAAAATATATACAAACGCGGGCTTTATTATATTCATATTTATATTGCATATGTCTTCAGTAATTTATATTTTTTTTTATAACATAAAGAGCGCTTTGAATCTATCCAAGAAAAAGATTTACTGCACCGTCCATTTAGATAAAAATGCCCTTTTTGTGTATTCAATAATGGGTAAACTCATCCAGACGTTGTCCGATACTTTAGAATTCGGAATATACTTAGCCGTAGGTGCTTCTGCACCGGACATTGGTGATGCACCGTTGCACGTGTAAACTTGATATAAAGTGCTCGTTTCACGCCAAGTGCATTTCACCCTTACCCTTCTCTTATTCTTGGCCCCGTTGCTCCCTTACCAGCCCAACCCCATCCCCATCGACATTTGCTACCTACACCTTCAATTGTCTACCTGTTATGCTCTCTCTCTCTTGTCTGTCTAGTCTCTTTCCCAACACCGACCACACATTTGCACGCTAACTGGCGTCGGACTTTTTGACTATTATGTATATATTGTCCTGATATAACCCGTCCTATACTGGTTAAGTCCATTTTAACTTTAATGACAAAGACTAAACTCCCTCATTTTATTCCCTGGAATAATCCTCCGAACTTCATTAAAAACCTTTTGTCTACTATTTATTTTATTTTATTCGCTGACTAAAAAAATTTTTAAAACTGAAAACTAAAAACTAAAACTCAACTATCTTTTGTTAAATTTAATTGTCAAGTTTTTACTTTTAAAAGTTAAATTTAATTAATTGATGAACCATTCAATTGCAGTTTAAATAAAACTTTTTTTTTTCAATCAATCAATTTAATTACTGTAATTAAATGTTATCTTGATACTCTACTTTTGGTTTTTTTTTTTTTTTTTTACCTCATTAAAGTATTATTTAATATCAATTTTATGCAACTGAGTGCAATAATTCATTTTTATATCGATATTTAATTATACATAAAAAATTTCGTTGAATTTTATATTGAATTATTTTTACTGAACAAAATATGCTTTGAAAAATTTTAAATTCTATTTATTATACACATATTTCAAGCAAGATTTTTCGATGCACAACTTTATAAAAAAATTTATTTTTATTCCTAATTGAATTTATTTTCAATCAAGCAAAAGGTTTTCATTTTTTAAATTTATTTCAGGAAATAAAATAATCTCTTTTGATTTTATAAAATATTATTTAAATAATTAATTTTTAAAAATGTATTTTTATGATTCAAATCCCTCAATATTTATTTATAAATAAATAATTAAAATATTTATTTGGAAAAATAAATAAATAAAATATTTATTTGGAAAAATAAATAAATAAAATATTTATTTGGAAAAATAAATAAATAAAATATTTATTTGGAAAAATAAATAAATAAAATATTTATTTGGAAAAATAAATAAATATTCCAAGTAAAATAATTTTATCGCTAATAATTATTTAATTATAAATATTTTTAATACTGTAAAAAAAATCAATTAAATTTTATTTCCAATAATAAATTCACAAAAATTAATAATAGAAATTTATTATCAATAAAAATAAATCTATAAAAAATTAATATTGAAACTTACCACAGGTAATGAAAAATACAAGTAGAATAAAGAATAATAATAAATAAATCCTGAAGAAATTCCGTAAATTTTTGATAACCATTTTAAAAAATTGAAATCACGTCTAAAAATAAATTCCCATATTATCAATAATCAGTCATTAATTATTAATCATTACAATTACTTAACAACGAATGATAAAGTGTGGAAAGATCGCGAAACGTATCGCGCGGCCACTCGCGTGGCTCTGAATGGTTTAGAATCTCGGGATAGTTTTCCAGCAACGAGTAGAGTCTGCGACATATATATACACAATATATCTACATAAATATATTTGTTGGTATTCCAGGCGCCTGCTCAATGCTCATATCAAGTCCCTTCTCCAGCAGCGTAGTATCTGTACTAGGAACATCCACTTCCTGGTCAACAACAGCTTCTCCTTCTGCTCCACTTCTCATCTTCTGACACAACAACCCCGAGCATTCATTTAATATTTTAACACACATATATTTTAAATATTAAAAATACACTCCCACAGATTATGTTTTTTTAATTAAAAAAAATAATTATCAAGAGCTTTTTGTTTTTACTAAATTGTCAACTCATTTAATTAAATGAAAAAAATTTTTTAGTTTTCGTTTTAGTTTTAATAATACTTGATAACTTTAATAATGTATCTTTAACCTCATAACGCAACATATTATTACTTCATTTGTTATTACGCACGATATGATATCGAATTTCACAATTTTTTGACAATTGTTTTTATTTCTTTGCAATGGATAAAATAAATGACCAGCCAGTGAACGGAATTAGTTTATATTGAATTCACATTGAAGTCACACGCAAAATTTTTAATTACCAAAAATTATATTATTTTTTTTTCGTGATTATTTTAATTTAACGGGTTAAAATGAATAACCCGGTCGACATTCGACCTAGAGAACGTGAAAATGATGAGGAAATACTCAGTAGTTCACCACCTGATAAAGTGAGTTTATATTTGTTATTGTTATTGTAATTATTAATGATTTATTATCGATTCAATGAATTTTTTTTATTATAAAATAGAAAAGATTAGAGATGTTTAGACGCAATAAATTTAATAAATTCACGCTTTATATTTTCCTTATTTCGAAGAATAATTTTAATCACTTTAATATTTTTTTTTTTAATAATCAAAACATTTTAAAAATAAAAATAAATTTTTTGTTTTAAAATAAGTGTATTTAATAAATATTTAATATTTGTATTTAATAAATCTGATATTCATTTTATTTGATTAAATATTAATAAATATTAAATATTAAATATTAATGAATCTTTTTAAATACTAAGAAATATTTGCTAAGGACTAAAAAGTGGTCTTTAATAAATAATAAATGAGTTGTTAAATATTAACAAATATTTTTAACTATAAAAAAATCCTTTTATCAGTGTGATTAAAAAAAACTTCCTTATACACAAACTCAATTTTTCTGATTCAATAAAATTGTAAAATTACATCAGCAGATTTCTCTTAAAAAATAACATAAAAAGATAAATATGAAGGTCATATAATTACTTTAGGTAAAATTACGACAGAAATTAGTATCGGTAAATTGAGTTATTTTTTTAAACCGAATAAATGAATAAATAATAACAAGTTTTTCCTGTTGATTTAAAATAGCGAGTCAAGATAACCTTGATTATTTTCCTTACTAAGAAGGATAATATGTTTGTGAATGCAGAGATGTTATGTTTTAATGATACATATCAATCTCAGATGTCGAAAATAAGCTGATGAAAGTCAACGCGGTATATTATTTATACAGAATAAATATATAGTGTGTAAGTATGTGGAAAATAGAGTGACAAGTGGGAAAAGAGTTTGTAGAGTGGGCACCGATAATATTGGTAGGGATATTGATCTATAAATTAGCCGGGTAACTGTGATTGTAAGATTAGTTTCAATATTTATCTTTATAAAGATTTCAATTGTAATAAAAATAGAGTTTATTTGACTTTTTACTTTGGGAATAAACGATAAGAATGACAAGTTTTGGTGCTTGAGTAGGTGGTTATTGAAATTTAGTGCTAAAGTTTTTTTATCAATTGAATTTGTGTGATCACTTTTGGCAAAATGATGGCCTTAGAAGTAAGAAATTTTTACTGTAACTAAATAATTGTATAGATAATGATTATAAGTAGTTTTACTTTTTATGAAATTTGGATTTCGAAAGTTTGAAAATTTGAAAATGTTTGGAATATTTTAGAAAGTTCAAGTGTTACTTTAGAATCTTTTAAAAAAATCTTATAAAATTACTTTTGAATAAAATAATTTATTTCAAGGTCTAATGAGACTTATCAATTATTTTCTAATTACTCAACTATTTTTATAGTTAAAAATTTTTTTAAATATAATAATTGATAAATTTAACGTATAATTGGCGCGAGACACTACCGGAACTTTAAATTAAATTTATAGAATTAAAAAATTTAAGATAAAAATAATTTTATCCTAAATAATATTTTAAAAATAATTAAAATTATAAATTCTTTGTTATTTAATTAAAAATTAATTAATTATAATTTTTAATAAGCTAGATTATTTTATAACGGAAATTTTTTCAATTTAATTATTACTATTGTTATTAAATAATAATAACAATAAAATTTACAGCCAAAGCTAATGGAAGGAGGCAATTATATAAAAGAAGGACGAGATTCAGCTCGTAGTACGTGTTTAATATTTTCACCGAATGAAGAAGACGAAGTCGGTGCTCTTGGGAAATATCTACAGATATTCAGTGTAAGTATTGCGCTCTATAAATATTTAATGCAGACTTTATTTGTATACATACTCATATATATATTTTTTTATTTGTATGCATTCTATCCATCATCTCTGCGGATTTAAGCCCCGCGGCATTTTTTACTCTACTTTTTCAATATGTATTTTATTTTATTTTATTTTATTCCCGTTTAATTGAATTTTTCGCTCATCAAAATGTTTCTGCAGTTAATTAAACCTTTTTCATATAAACCTCAGTATCGAACTTCTAAATATTATCACTTGTTTTTAACGCTTCATCGCTCGCTACTTGCAATTTTATCTATTTACCGATAGACGTACCGCTAAATGATTGATGGGAAATATTTACAGGAACATAAAGTTAATCTGCTGTATATTGAATCACGTAGCTCTTTACGAAAAGTTAACGGGTATGAATTTGTGGTCGAGTGTGCACCTGGGGGAAATCTTGGAGCTGCTATCGAAGCTGTCAAGGAACAATGCAGTTATTTTTCCATCATATCCAGGTATTTTAAAAAATATCGATAGTTATAAAAATAAATAAATAAATAATGATACTCGAATTGATTCAAAATAAGTGTTATTTTCAATAAAAAAATTTATTAAAGTTCAATTTTTAATTTGAATTTTTTAATCTATAAATTTAATATTCAATAGAATTTTATTTTTTAATAGAAGATTACTGTCGCTGATTAAATTTTTTCTTCTTTTCGAAGGAATCATAAGAATAATATGGACTCAGTGCCCTGGTTTCCGCGAAGAATTCGCGATCTCGATAAATTTGCCAATCAAATATTGACTTATGGGGCTGAATTAGATAGCGATCATCCGGGTTTTACGGACCCCGTTTACCGTGCAAGGAGAAAGTATTTTGCAGACCTTGCTTATAATTACAAACAGTAAGTTTTTTTTTACCTAATACTTTAAGCGCTTATTTCTACATAATTTTGAGTGATTAGTGACAACATTTCTTAATTATACACATTTAAAAAAATTATTTATCCTAACCAAATCACAAAAAAATTTTTTATAAATTAATGAAGTATTTAAAAAATTACTTACATAAAATAAATCATTTTTTTGTGATAAGAAATAAATTTTTATTATGAAATACTTAAAAAGTGATTAACCCAATCATCATATTAATTATTTTGATAAACTAATGATTAAAATAATGAGAATTTAACTTGAAAAAATTAAGATTTTTTCTTGTTTTTCTTTTTCAATCTAATTTTTTCTATCAGTGTAAAATTCTTCATTGAAGTTTGTACATATTTGGGTTAATTCTTTATAGCAAAAGCTAATAATAATTATTTCTCACAATTACAGCGGAGAACCTATTCCACAAGTGGAGTACACAGAAGAGGAAATCGCGACTTGGGGTGTTGTGTTTAACAAACTAACTGAATTGTACCCAAAATACGCGTGTCGCGAACACAATCACGTATTTCCATTGTTGATTGAAAATTGCGGGTACCGAGCCGACAATATACCGCAGCTTGAAGACATATCTCGTTTCTTGAAAGGTAATTAATTTATTTTGCCTATAAGAACTTTGACTTGAACTATAAATTAATAAATTAAATTAAATTGTGACTGACAATTTCATCAAAGTTTGCAACAAAATGATTTTTTAGCTGAACATTAATTATTTTGACCCGCCTTTCTTATTAATAACTCTTTAATTTCACTTGGTGTTTAATGACTTGGATGAATATAAAACAGGGTGGTTAAAAATAATATTAAAGTTGGTTTAGTAGTTATAAAATGGTTGATAGCGATACGGACGCCAGGTTTATTTATGTGTTGTTGTTGTTTTTGAAATATAGATTGCACCGGATTTTCTTTACGACCAGTAGCTGGATTATTGTCCTCACGTGACTTTTTAGCCGGACTAGCATTCAGAGTGTTCCATAGTACTCAATATATCAGACACAGCAGTAAACCATTGTACACACCGGAGCCTGACGTCTGTCATGAAGTTCTAGGTCACGTACCGATGCTCGCTGATCCGGCATTTGCTCAATTTTCTCAAGTTATTGGATTGGCATCTCTCGGAGCTCCAGATGAGTACATTGAAAAACTTGCCACTGTAAGTTATCGATTATTTTGTTATATTACATTCTGTTTATTACTCTCCCCTCTTTAAGATGTCAACAAAGTTGTTATCTGTTTTCGTTTCAACCGAGCTAACTAGTTTTTTAAATGATTTATTATTTACAAGTGATAATTACTTTTTATAATTTTATATTTGTGATCTTTGAACCGCAAGCGTGTGATTTTATATCTTCAAGCGCAAACATAAACATTGGGGTGCTTGTTTTAAGACATAATCAATCGTTTATTTTTTTTCTTGGAAAAATTATGATTGAAAGAAAATTACAGAAGACAGAATTCTTTCTATGAGTGTCACTGACAGGAAAATTAATCGGTAGTTTCTTAGATAGAGAGGTCTACAGATTTTTACCGTAACAAATTTTGATTAATTTTTTTTTTTATTTTATTCTTCGTTATAGCGGATTTCTGAAGATAATTTGGAAAATTATGGACATATATTTTTTTTTTAATTATTTTTAAATTTTTAAATTTGATTAATAATAATGATAATAACTAGCAACCTTGCAGTCACTTTGTGACTTGTGAACTAAAAAAAATTAAAATTTTGCTTTATTAAATAATGAATTTTGTTAAACTGCACTGTACTTTCTTAAATATTGACGTTTTTTAAGATATAAGCTCATCCCGATGTTACACTCATCGAGACCTTTCATTTGAGTACCCACATAGAATTTTTTATATATTTTATATATATGGTATTTGTGAAATATATAAATATATAAAATATATGAAAAATTGATGTGGGTACTCAAATGAAAGGTATTGATAAGTGTAATGTCGGGGTGAGCTTAAATCTTTAAAAATGTCAATAATTGACAAGATAATTGTTAAAATGTCCTGTACTTGGTTTACTATTGACATTTGTAAAGATATAAGCTCATCCCGTTGTTACACTCATCGAGACCTTTCATTTGAGTACCCACATGGAATTTTTTATATATTCTATATATATGGTATTTGTGAAATATATAAATATATAAAATATATGAAAAATTGATGTGGGTACTCAAATGAAAGCTCTTGATGAGTATATCATCGGGATGAGCTTATATCTTAAAAAACGTCAATATTTAAGAAAGTACAGTGCAACTTAACAAAACTCATTAATTAATAAAGCAAAATTTTAATTTTTTTTAGTTCACGTCACGGCAATCACATAATGACTGTAAGGATGCTAATGATAAGAAAAATAGTAGTAGTGTTTATAGCAAATATTTAATTCATTAATGTAATTATATTCGTTGTCGTACTGTTGACAGTGCTTCTGGTTCACGGTTGAATTTGGGCTATGTCGACAACACGGAGAACTAAAAGCTTACGGGGCTGGTCTTCTCTCCTCTTTTGGCGAGCTCGAGTATGCTCTCAGTGGGGAACCGGAGCTCCGAGCTTTTGAACCCGCTAAAACTGCACTACAGAAATATCCAATAACCGAATATCAACCTGTTTATTTTGTGGCTGAAGATTTCGAGGATGGCAAAGAAAAAATGTTGTACGTATTTTATATTCATTGTTATCTAAGAATTCTTCAGTAAAAAATTTTTTTTTATTTTCAAGAACTTTTAACTAAGGCTCACTGATTAATCCAATTAAAATTTTCAGGAAATTCGCGCAGACAATTCCCAAAAAATTCGGAGTACGATACGACCCATACACTCAGAGCATCAACATCATTGACAGCAAATATCAGATTGAAGAGCTGATCATCAACGTCAATCAAGAAATAGAAATTCTGATGGACGCGTTTAAAAAATTGAAAAATTGATCAAGTTTTTTTTTTACTATAAATTATTAATTATCAAAATAAAGCATTATTTTGAGGATATTTTCAAGAGTAGTATAATTTTTTACCATAAATAATATATAATAAAAAATTCAATATTGTTGGTGGTACAGTAACAAAAGAAATGCATTTTTTCATTGTTTATGAATTTATTTTTTATATATATTCATATATGCATTATTAATTGCAAATTATAATATTATAATTAGATTATTAAATAAACTTATACACAAATTATTTACAAATAAAATATAAACATTTTAAAAATAATGGTAACAAGTTTAGTTAGTTATAATACGAGTGTAGTATAAAGTTTAAAATACATAAATACTTATAGATAAATATATACTTACACAATCTATACATATATTTGTTAAAACTACTCTAAATATCAGAGATCACATTGAATATACTTTGTACTAATTTATCTCTATACCATGGATGATTGATTACCACACATTCACATACAAAAATAATATTTATTTTACTTAAAATAATTTCCTCAAATAAATAAAAAATTTATTTCAATATTTTGGTCCCAATGAAATACTTTAAATTCCAAATGATTTATAAATGATAAAAAAATTAATTATCTTCAAAAATAGTCTTTAAAAATTTATCATTTTTTTTTCTTGACTAAGGCCACAGTCTCCAAAAAATTTGGCCATAAATTAAATAAACCACTCAAAATAATAATTAAAATCATTGATTAATCATAGACCTATGAGAGCTTCTCGGCTCAACATTATTATAAATAATATCCGGCTGAATCGAAAAATTCATCATCTCCGTATCAGCAAGGCCTTGAGTTTGCGTTTGAGGGATTCCTTCTTGTCTTTGCGTCTTCTGTTGACCAATAAAGGGCCGAGCTGATGCTTCCGGTACCTGGGAGGGAATAACAATCGGCGCGACGGGTATCACTGCCGGCGAGTGGGGAAAAGTCGCCATCGGTAGAATAGGAACTGGTACACTGACCGGTACCGGAAGGACATTCATGCTCACATCGGGAACACCAGTATCCTCAGTTCTTTCTTCCGCAACTTGACAAGAACCACCACTCACATTAACAGTCCCTACCCCACCGACCGCGTTGTAAGCCGATACACTAACATTGATCAACGGGGACAAAATTCCGTATCTAGCGATCAACAATTGCTCGGAAACTCGCCTAAGTTCTTCCTGCTGATGTACTATCAGCTGCTGAAGCTCTTCATGTTTCCTCTGCAACTCTGTCTGCATTTGATTCTGCGATATCGTCGAATTTATTGACTGCGGGTCGACTATCATCGCGCTGGGTAAAGTCACTGTTACCGGCGCTGGTGTTACAAAACTCGTCGTAGGTAGCACAGAAATCATCGGCTCCACATAATGAGGTTCAATATAATTATTGCTCATGTCTTCTCTTCTTAATTCTACGCCCTGCCTTCCAGAGTTAACAGAATTAACTCCAATTCCAGGAGCTTGCTTTCTTTGTCCTTGACCAGGACCAGATCCTGGTCCACTGACCATTCCAGATGCTTGATCATTAAGCAGCGTAATCTTAGCAGTAAGTGGAATTTTAGTTTTCGGGCTATGAGACGTCGAAACGGATTGTCTAGAACTCTGAGACCCAACAGACAGAGAAGTAGTATCTGATTCAGTTCCTCGATAAATATTCTGTGAAATTTTATTCCTTCCAGATTTTGGAGACCAAGTTGATCTTGTTTGTCTTGTAGAGGGTGTAATAATTGGTGCAGTTGTCGACTCAGCAGCTTCTTGGCTCGGAAGATCCTTCAGTTTCTTCAACTGCTTTAAAACTTCAGCGTAACTGACGACTTTGTGAGTACAAGCGATGAATTCTGGTTTAGAATTCCATTGGTTGTAGTCAATATAAAATCGAGTTTGAAGCCAGATCCACTGCTGTCCTTTGGTGAGAAATCTGTAGTGACAAGAAGTCCCTTCGCCTTTTTGCATCAGAGATTCGTGGCAAGAGACAACTTTGTCCAGGTCGTCTACGTGGTAGTAATCGTATCCAGAAGTTCCAAGAACCTCAAAAGGTAAGTATCCGATTATTGGAGGCGCTCGGTGGTCCAGGAAGAGAAATTTCCACTCTAAACTGTGACGAGAAGTGAACTCTAGCTTGGTGTTGTCGATTAATGACATGTATTGGATTAGATGGGGAGTTAGGAGGCGACCAGTGCCAATGAAAATTACTTTAGAGTCGCTGGGGTTCGTGGAATACCGGCTGCTGGGCAAAAGAGACTCGATATCAGAGCTGGAACGAAAGTATCCAACGAAGCGGATCAGTTCGTAGGTAGGTTCTTCTTGGAGATCGAGGTTACCTCGTTTTATGTGGCAAGTAAAGGAGACTTGGTGTTCTTCTTTGATTTGTTGGTGGTCTAAAATTGGACTGGGGTTCAGGAGGACGTTGTAAAGGAGAGATTGGTCTTCTTCGTAAGTTATCTCGTAGATTGTCGAGTTGGTCAGTTCGCTGGGAAGGTAGCCCAATAGTGAAGTCACGCTCTCAGATGCGTAATAAATGCGACCATTTGAGGAGAAGATCATTATAAAACCGTCTAAAGCCTCGAGGATTAAGTGCGTGAATTCTTCGTTGGAAAGGAAGGATGGTTTCCAGTCTTCTTGGATCTCATGGGCGCGAGATCGTACTGATAACTCTGGAAATTTTTGTAAGGTTAATGACGATAATTTTAAGATTGCTACAAGCAACCTTGCAGTCACTATGTAACTGCCGTGACTTACGAATTATAAATAAATAAAATTTTACTTTATTAGGTAATGAATTTTGTTAAATTGACCTTTACTTTCTTAAATATTGACGTTTTTAAAGATATAAGCTCATCCCGATGTTACACTCATCAAGAGCTTTCATTTGAGTACCCACATGCATTTTTGATATATTTTTCATATATACATATATATAAAGTATATAAATATATAAAATATATGAAAAATTGATGTGGGTACTTAAATGAAAGGTCTTGATGAGTGTAACATCAGGATGAGCTTATATCTTTAAAAATGTCAATAGTTTACGAGATATAAGGTCATTTCTTAATTATGTATCAAAATTTTGCTTATTCTCTTAATGATATAGATTATAATTTTTAAATAATCAGTTATGATAATTACCATTATGATTTTTTAAAAACGATATTGTTGATTTTAATACCGTGGATTTATCCATTTTACGTGTATTGGTACTGACCATACTGCCCAACTCATTGACCAGCATATTAAATTGATCTCTTCTTTTTTTCTCACTTAAATTTCGTGATTTTCTGAAAAAAAAAAAAAAAAAAAAAAAAAAATTATATGAAAAAATAATTTTTATTTACATGTAAAAAAGAAAACTCGAGAAATTTCGATTGATTCACACAATCAGCCCATTCGAAGAATTAATTTACAAAATATGACTCACCTCTTTGTGTCATCTTTGTCATCAATATCATCGTCCATAGTTTCACTAAAGAAAATAATAATAAATTAAATTTTTTAAACGACTAATTTAAAAAGTAGAAAAAATAATTCTGAACGAGTAAAAAACGCGCGCATGTTTATTATTACTGACACTTGTCAGTCACGTGGATCTTTTGAAAGTCTAGTAATAATATCTTTCAAAAATTTTCAGACAAATGAAAGGTTTTTTTTTCAATTTTAAAATTGAGTTACTTGAATTTACTAGAAGATTAATTAATTAAAAATGAAAAACAAACAGAAAATGATTACGTCAATCAATAATTGCGACAAAATTATGGAATAATTCAAGAAGTAATTGAATTGAATGAATGATAGTAGTTGAAAAATAACAAAATAAATATTTTCAATAATAAACGATTAAATAAAATAGTAAACTTAGATAATACTTACTCTGATTGTCCTGTTGAACTCATAGTGACATAACTAGCCATTGTTGCTTTTTTTAATAACACAGTACTTGCGTAATTATATTAAAATACGCCTAATGGCGGCAGTTATGTTACACACAATTTAGATTATTGTATTATTAATTATTTGTATTTGTAATTAGTTATAGAACTCACTAGAGCACTCGATTGTTAACTTTTTGTTTACAACCATTACATAATTCAATATTTACGTGTGATTATTTTTTTTTCGTCACATTATCACCACCGTGTTGTATATAATTAGTACATGTGTGTATAGCCAATAAATACATAAATGTTTGCTTGTATAGAAGCTTTCAAATAGAAGAAGTTAAATTTTATCCGGTCAGGCGGCGTGCACTACTGACGCAATTTTGATGATGCAATTGCAAGGAATACCGACAAATTAATGGCTAGTAAAAAAAGTACTTATTGCCAAGACACTTGTTAGATGTTAGAATGTATTTATTTGTATATTTTTAGATTCTATGCTTGTAGACTCGGTTAGTGAAATTTTCGGAGCACCAAAATCACTAGATACACCAGTTACTTTTACTCTTACTATTACTTAACACGGCATGCGCTTTTTTGCCGAGTCGCGGTCACGATACGCCTGGGTATATATAGACCTTGACGTCAGCTAGGCTGTTCGAGAAATTACTTACAGCGCAGTTGCGAATTTTATCAAGGACGAACGCGGAAAATAAATGTCGCGAATATCTCGGTGAGGAGAAGAAATTGTTTGAAAATTCAATTTGAATTATCGGGAAATAAATAAGAAAAAAAATGCTGAAATTATGAAAATCTTTAAAAAAACAAATCGGCTGCCCAATTTTAAAACACAGTAACTGCAAAATTTTTATACTTGATTTTTTTTTCAATATTGCTGCATTTTTTATAACTTTTAGACCTTAATTTTTCTTAAAAATATTTATATTCAAGTATTTTCTATTAATAAATTAAATTTTTTATCAATTTGGAGCGCAAATTTAAATAAGAAAAATTTTTAAAAATATTAAAATTGTCAGTTACTGTATTTTGAAATTATGGGCAGCCGAAATACAAGCATGATATTTAATTTCCACTCACCAGGATGAACGTCAGGATGCTCAGCTTCTGCTACTCCTAAAAAATAATAAAATTAATTAATTAAAAAATTCAATTTTTTTTATAAAAATAATTTAACCATAAATAATTTGTCTCTTTACCTCGTCAGTCCTTAGGTTGACTATTTTTTCTTTATCAACATTGAATTTATATAAATAATAAGAAAAAACTCATTGTTCATCTGCTTTTTTAAATATTCACAATCAACCCACCACTCACTTTTTACTATTATAAAATTCACCACTTCACTTATCACATCACTTCACTTTTCACATCACTTTAAGCTAAAATATTTTATGAAATAATCTTTACTACACCACAAATACACTTCATGCTTACTTCTACCACTCTAATCACTTCATTTATATATTTATTGATAAAAATACTGACTTAAAGATAATACTAAAATTAGCCGACGTTTCTAATTCTTTTTATTTATTTAATTGGAACAAAAAAAATATTTTTTAAAAATTGCACTTAAAATTTTCCAAGTTTTTTACAAATGCATTTTTTTTTATCATTGTTTCTAATAATTTTTTCAATAAGAAAAATTATAAAAATTTTTAAGATGTCGACTAACTTTATTCTTATCAGTTAAAGTACTCCTAAAAATAATTGTCATCAACATTTCGCTTAATTTTCTTATACAAATTAATTTTGTAAATTAAAAAAATTATTAAATTTATAATATTGAAAATAGCAGACTGAAAAAATTTTATTTATATCGCAATACTTTAAAGAAAAAAAAAACTGTATTTTAAATAAATAATTACAAAAGAAAAGAATGAAAATTATTTAAAATGACCAAAAGAATAATTAAATGTCTGCTAGCTTCATTGTCATTCCATCGACATTTAATTTAATAATTTTCTATTAAAAAATGTCTTTTAATATTATTCAGTACGTATTTATTAACTTTTTTTTATCGATTACCTTCGTGTTATGTCAAAAAAACTAAAATAACAATCACAAACCCCGCATATCATCGCATTATTTACGTCCATTGTCCTCCGCGACCGGCCATGTTATGATCGTATGTTTGCAAACACGAACGACCTCGAAGCGAACCCCCGCTGACTTCCGCGCACCAAGTTCGCGCCAAATTCTCTCTCAACAAAAAACTTTTATTATTTATTATTAAAAAGCTTTTTATTAATTTTATTAAATTAATTAATTTGTAATAATAATAAAATTAATTAATTTTATAATTAATTATTATTAAGAACATATAAAAATTTATCCCGGATATTCAAAGTCCAACGGTTGGCTGCGCGGAAAGTTGCGCAGTAGTAAAACTATGCGCGCGCATATAACGCTACCCGTTCCCGCGCTTTTGCACACGACACACCTTAGACCGGCTCCAGCTCTAGCATAGTACTGTCCCGCGGCAACTTTTGGCTCTTTTATATTTTATAAATGTATATTATGTTAATAAATAATTTATTTAAGCATAATTATTACTCCAAGGATCGTAAGTATCGAGTTAAATAATAAATTTGATTAATTACTTCATGTTTATATATATTTAAATGAGGATGAATGTTCTATGGTCATACTTCAGCGACATTTTGCAATCAAATCTGTCAATTATTTATCAATCAAGCTCGTGCATAAATATTTCTATTATATATAGTCAATTTTTTTTTATTAAACATCTTAATAAATAAATTATCAATTATTTTAAATAATTTAACTAATAAATAAAAAATTTAATGACATTAAAATTATTTTAAAAGCAGACATTTGACAGTTTTTGATTTTTTGAATAAAAATTATGAGAAAAAAAATATTTTTTAAAAATTGCACTTAAAATTAATAAAATTTTCTACATGTCAATTTTTTTAATAAAAAAATATTCAGATGTTAGCTAATTTAATTTAATTTAGATAAATTATTTTATTTATGATATTAAAGTTAGCAGTCACTATACAATTTTTCAATTTTTTTTAACAAATTTGTTCTGAAAAATTGTTTTTTTAATTTCTACAAGTCAAATTTTTAATAATTTATTTGCTACAAAAATTTTTTTAATTATCAAATATCTGCTAAATTAATTTTCATCAAAATTTACTGTACTAGAGCTTGATGTCAGTCTCAGTTTTCATCTCGGTTCCGCGAGTCATTTATAAATATCGTCCAAGTCTTTAATTAATAAAAAATTTTTTTTTTTATAGTCCAATATTATAATATTTGATCAGTTATAATTATTAATGTCTAGTGTAGTGGTGTTTTACAGTTTTACAGTTCATAATGATAGTTTTCAAGTTTTAAAAGTCTAGATATAAGTGATGATATATGTAATGTCTAGTTTAGCCAGTGTCAGTAGTGTAGGAATATCTTAATAGCTATTTAGTGTGGTGATAAAAATGAAAGTGGTGCTGGTTCCTGCGCTAAAGATCAATTCCAAGCTCTCATCAAAGGTAAATTTTGAAATAAAATTATTTTTTCACTAAAGATACAATTAATTAATAATAAATTTTTATTTTTTTTCAAGATTACAGCAAGTTAGAAGTTTTCAGATGCTGATTCTTCAGGTGGTGAGTCCTCTAAAATTTTTTTTAATTTTTTTACCTTGATTTTTAAGGAAAAAATGAATTTCTTGACAAAAAAAAAACCACAATTTTTAAAAATAGTTCAATCATTTTATTGAATCATTAATTACCAAGTATAATTCAATTGATTCCACGTCTAAAATCAAATTTAGATTTCGTCTCGCTTCTTAGCTTCCCTTCGCGTGATTTAAACCCACGTAATTTAACCCGCTCCCAGGGTGTCACTTTATCAACCTTATCTTCAGTATTAATTGTCGACATTAATTGATCCATCATAAAATCAACCGAAGTTGAAGATCTCGACGTTGATCTTTGATCCAAATTCCCAATCACAGAATCACGGGTATCAGGCCTGTGTTTTAGAAACCTAGGAGTTTCCAAGTCATTGGTCCACCTAAACTTGCTGTCTATCAACTCTTTAGATTTTGCGTATTCATCCATAGTTTTTCGAACCAAAGCATCCAGGTCAATATCATTAGCCTTCAATCTTGATAAATCAGAAGTCAAATCAGGAGTAATATTTCTATTGCTCCTTAAAAATTTAACATCTTGGCTTTTAATCTTCACCTTGTTCCTTAATTTAGCCGTTTCTTGATCAGGTTCTTTGCTAACATTAGTCAAAATATTTTTACTCATTATTTCTTCGAGAGAAGGTACATTTATGACATTAACTCGTTTTGTCGGTTTATTTTTAATAGAATTATCAGATACTGAGCTTCTGATATTTGTATTCCAATTCACTGATCGCGCTGGTTCTAATTGAAGCTTCAATGATTTTTGATAAGAATTTTTATCACTTGATCCTATAATCCTTTGGTTTATTTGCAATCGCTTATCAATATCATTAGTTTCTTTTGATAATCCGCTCCAATTATATGCCATATTTTTTTTATTAAATTTATTGATTTTATCAATAAGACTGGGTCTTAATTTTTTAATTATCAATTCTTTGGCTACTTGATTTTTTATTATCTGGTTAAAAATATTTTTTATTAAATTATTTAAATAATAAATCAAATTAATTTATTAAAAAAATTACCTGATAAGCAGCTCGTGATACTAAACAAAAATTTTTTAAATCATTTATCGACAGATACTTGAGTAAATTATTTATAAAATTTATTGGCAATGTTAATAAGTATTTTTTATTTACTATTTTATCAATACAGTCTACTGTTGATTCATCTGAAGTTTAATTTATCAAAAATTAATTTAGCACAAAAATAAATAAATAAACTTTTAAACATTTATGACAATACTAAAGTTAGCCGACGTTTTTAATTTTTTGATTTTTTTTTAAATAATTAAATTAGAAAAAAAAATGTTTTTTTAAAATTGGACTTACAGTTTTTTAAGTTTTTTTACAAATGAAATTTTTTTTTTTTATTTTTTTGTAATAATTCTTTAATTAAAATTTTTAGATGTCGGTTAACTTAATTTTTATACATTTATGAGAAAATTATGAATCACGTCTAAGATAAAAAAAATAATAATTACCAAAAATAAATCTAATATCTCTAGACTTTTCACTCCACTCGCTAAAATTAATACTAATTACTCCTGGATATTTATGTGGTCCATTAGAAATTCTCCAATGAAAAATTTTAATCTTAAATAATAATACAAAAAAAATTATCAATCATTAAAAAATATAATAGCAGTACCTCGTCGTTTAAAACTTTAATACCGTAGTAATCTCTGGAAGGTGCAGGAGCAACAGTATATATTTCTAAATAAATAGACATTAGGTTTGACATTAATAATTAGTTAATTAATTAAAAAAAAAATAAGCATCAATTATTTTAAATAAACAAAAGAAAGTTGGCTTCACATATTTTATTTCAATCGATATGAAGATGAAGATAAATATATAAATGTTTTCGAAGTAAAAATGGAAAGTCAGATGGCATCATATAATAATAATAATTAATAATTAATATTAATATATAATATAATATAATTTTATCATATAATATAGTAGTAATAATAATAATAGTTGTAACAATATACAAGGAAGGCTATAGAGTAATATCACAATGCATGATTCGTAACTTTGTAAATTGGTTTGTTGTTTTTAAACAGTATGAAAATGTCAAGTGCGTCTACAATTATTTATTAAACGTGAAAAAGTATTGTTTTATTAAAAATTACAGAGTAAAAATATTTGGCAAACAAATGGACGAATGCACATTGGTATTTTTAATGTGCAATTTATTATATTTATTTAAAGACATTGCAGTTTATTTTTTTTTTCTAATTTTATTTTAATAAAAAACAATTTTAAAATTGCACGTTTAAATTAATTGATATGATGTCTAGGCGTGCTAGTGATTGACAGTAACAATAGTAATGAAAATGAAGAATAAATAGTATGCACTAGTGTACATGCAAAGTCTTATTGATGGAATTATTTTTTAATCGAATATAAAATATTTAATCACTTATTTATTAATTAATAAAAATTAAAATGCTCTTTAAGCATATCGTTGTATCTCGATGGAATTATTTATCATTTTTAATTAAAAAAAATTTTTTTTTAATAGTAGACATTAATTACTGGCTTTATTTATTTTTTTTATTTTTTTAAAACGAACCATAAGTCTTATTAAATTATTTTATTTGTTCACTTTTTAATAAACTAGCCGTTAAATAAAGTTAAAAAATTATTTAGTCACTTTAAATCTAAAACTTTCATCGAATGTCATTATTAAAAATAAATTTATATATATCTATCTATATATATTTATTTATAATTGAAAATAAAAATTATTGATTTTAATGGTCACAAGCGCAAGTACTTGTATGCATAAATTTATTAGCAATAATAAAATTAATAATAATAATTTTAAATATTATTATTATTTATTTATAATCTTAAAGACATAATAAAGATATTGAGTATAGTAATAAATTGTAAATGTAAATATTTAATTATGGAAGAACAGATTTGCACATTGCATTAGCAGTTTACTTTATTATTATTATTATTATTTTTTTTTTTTTATATTAAATGTTTTAAAAATAAATTATTACTTTCGATATGTTTCACTATATTTGTACCATCCACTTATTAATTCTCATAATTTTTTTTATTAATCTTATTAATTAATTAACGCTTTAATTATCAACAATTGTCGCGCGATTTAATTTATTTTTAAAACATTTAATATAATAATAAATATGTTATTGTTTTTCGAGTATGAAAAATTTATGAGAGATAGCAGTTCAATTTCTTTAATTAATTATTAATTATTATTAATTAATATTAAAGAGAGTAAAACATTAGTCCTTATTTTTTATGGCGATAGATAATATTAAATAGTAAATAGTAAATTTTAATTAAATATCGAAGCTATTGTCAGTCTGATTATCGCTTGTAAATATTGTGACAAAAAATGGATTCTGCTGGTCGGTGACAGAATGAAGTATTATAATTTATAACATATAATCAATAATTATTAATTAATTACATATCTAATTTTTTTTTTCTTATTAAAAGTAATGATTGTGAGAGTGATTAAATATTAATGTGGTGGTAGATTATGAGTGCATGACTGAAACGGAAGAGTGAGTAAGATCATTGTCGTCTTGGCAAATGCTCGAGGACGTGGTCGTGTCTTCGGCAGGGGCTGCCGTTATCGTCAGCTGCCGCTTCTCCATGTGGTTCAAAGTCTTTTCAATGGCCCTGAGACGTTTTTCCAGGCTGGTGGTCCCCAAAATCCCGACCTGCAGTTGTGGTCCGAGAGGTAATATCGCGAGAATCCACCACGTCCACGAGGGACCGTCTGGTAAACGGATCCAGTCTTCTTCCGGTGTTGGCATTTCGCCAAATACTCGCTCTATTTCTTCTTGTTGGATTGGTGATACACTTGACCACCACTTTTTACCTTTTGACCATACCTACAATTTTTTTTTTTTAATTAATTTCATTATTTTTTATCTATTTAATTTTTCTCTATATAGTTCAAAATTTTTAATATTTTTCATACCAATAATAATTATTGATAACAATCTTTTAAATTTAATTTTTAAAAAATTAGTTTTTCTTCAACAAATTATATTTTTTTAATTAATTAAATTATTTTTTATACCAATAATAATTATTGATAAAAATCTTTTAAATTTAATATTAAAAAAATTAAAAAATTATTTTTTCTTCAATTGATTATATTTTTTTAATACTAATAAATTTTTTTCCACTAATAAAAAATTAACGAACCTTGTCATGAAGTTCTCTAACAGTTGACAAACATTCTAATGGAATCGGTGAATCACGAATAAGTTCAACTTCCGCAGTATCATAACCGTCTCTTTCACCGCCAGAGAGCACTCGGAATCTTCTACCACCCACGGTGCTTAAAATACTACATCCATCTTTCATTAAAACTCTATCTCTTATCTCCAAAACGGTCCCGTACTCCGCATATCTGCAAAATAAAATTAAAAATTTATTAAACTAAAAATTTTCGTGCCACTTAATTTAATTAATGATAAAAATGACTTGAAATTAAAAAAAAATAGCTATACAAAGAAGCAATTAAACAAGTAGCAAGTCTTATAATAAAATAAAAGAGTTAAAAATAATCACTGACCTTTTGCTACCTGTGGCTTCGCGATTGAGGCAAGCGGCAATGCCAAAGTGCCTGACCCCACTCTCAACACAACGGCGTACCATCAGCCTGTATCGCGGCTCGTAAACAAACAGCGGGCATGCGACACAGGGGAACGCCGTCGTACACACGAATACCGCGATGTTGTGCTGATTGTTACCCAAAAGTGCTGAACCCTGGATTAGCTCGAGTCGGTGATTTGTTGCTCGCGATGAGTACTCCGTCGGTGCTATAGTCTTAAGTGCTTTCTCCACAAATTCGGTTACCGTTTTTTGATTACTTGCCAAGTACTGCAATTATCAAATTTTAATCCAATTAATACACGATTACAAAAATCAGCACTTTGCTGTGAAAAATTATAGGTAAAATTTCTCATCCTTTTTTTTGACATTAAATTATAATTCTGGCTAAATGATAAGAGATATGGAAAAAGTAAGATAAGAACTTTTTTTGTAGGAAATTTAATTTTCTACAAAAAAGGTATCATGATTTTTTTATATCTTGAATATTTAACCCAGAATTTAATTTACAACTTTTACAACTACACGGAAAAAAGTAAACTGTAATAAATAATAGTCGATTTATAATAAGTAATGATTAACTGGAAAAAATTACCATTTCAAACAGTAAAATCGTGATTTTAACAATCACTTATAATATTTATTATTTAAATGCTACAATTTATTATTTATATGGACGAAAATACTATTTCAAAGAGTAATATTCGCTATGTAAAAGTCGAAAACGGCTTTTACACTTTCTACATTAAGTTTTGTAATATTTAAATTTGTGCCACCCCGATGTCCGCTGTACTATTTGAAACTATAATAATTAACCGGAATCCAAGTGAATTTTATAGTTTATACTTTTTTCCGTGTAATGTTCCATCAATTTTACCAACTCCAATTTTTTTTTTTTGGTAAATTTTTTAAAATTAATAATTTTTGCTCCAAATAATTAAAAATAGAGACCATAAATTTTTCACATAGCATAATACAAGCGACAATTAAAAATCAATTAATGAGTAAATATTACATCAGCGAGAGATGTAACACAAAGTGGACATGCTGATGAGTAATCGAGACAGCGATCTAAACACATCCAACAATACGTATGTCCGCAAGGTGTTGTAACAGGTTTCCATAATAAACGGCAACACAAAATGCAATCCAAATCACCTGTAGCTACGGCACTACTTCCTGACAATGGCGGAAGTAGAATTTCAGCTGGCATTCGTTCAACTCCTATTAAAAAAAACAAAATAAAAAAATCATTATTAATTTTCATTTATTTAAATTCATTTTTTTTTATCAACAATTAAAAGCATCGAATCTTACTTTTTAATTTTTCAACTTCCTGATAAATACGGTCTAGTAAAATATGTAATTTAACATTGCCTTGAGGTACATTGTTGCTCATCCTTCGGCATATTGCCTGTAAAATAAAAATACAACAATTATTATGATATTATAAATTATAAATATTAATAAAAAAAAAACATATACTCGGACGAAATAGTGATTGATATCAGAGAGCAAAAAATAAAGAGAGACAGAATAATGTGACACGGTATACTCTGCTGAAATCGATAATCTCGCAGCCGCGCACGAGACTTAACTTTATTAATGATTGACATGAATTTTAATCGTTTACCTAGTTATTAATTATTTAATCATAGATGTTATTTTATTGATCTATTTGTTGTTAGTTATGTTTTGTAATTTTTAATTTATTATTACCTGGGTAAATTCTTCTTCGCTACTACTATTATCTTCGCAGTCTGATGAATTAAGGGCCGGACGTCGGTGTCGTTGACTTGAATTCAAAATCCGTGATGCGCGGTAATGATAGTGATGATTATGATGATGGTCACGGGTTCTTCTTAATCTTACATTGCTTTCAGTAAAAACGTATGGTCCTCGCGATACTGTACTTCGTCGTAAATTTAATAAAACACGATGTAGTACCTATAAATAAATAAATAAATAAAAATCTTTATTAAATTTTTATAAATTAAGTAAAAAATATTTAAATCAATTCTTTAAACAAAAAAAAGTATTCTCAATAATTCAATTAATTTTTTTTAACAAAACTATTTATTTTTCCCAATGAATTTTAATTTTAAAAACAAAAATGATTAATAAGAAATAAAACTCACTCTGGTCAATTCATGGCGAATATTTTGAGTATTTTTATCAATTGCTACACTAGTACAAAAAGCTACAAAAGCTTCTTCATGTCTTCCTAGAGCTGACAGAGCTACACCTCTTCTGTAATGACCCTAGATTCGATTAAACATACAAAAAAAATAATTATTAATGCATTTAAAATGTCTCTTACAATCTAGATTTTTTTTTGTAATGTTGATAAAATATGGAGCAACGATATATAGCATAGAATTGTGTATTGTTAGTTGATATACATGTACGTAATATGTTGTACAGTAGACTATTGTCGTTACCACGCGAATGTTATTGCTTCATGCATACTCATTACGTCATTTATTGATTTTTATCTTGAGTGAGTAACGATTTAGATGATGAAAGAGCAATTTAATAAAATTTTTCATCAACTATTTCGCAGATACTGAATCGGGCTAAATATATAAGTGTAAAATGATAATTTATCTGTGGGAAGACTTTTTTAAGCGAAAAAAAATATTGCACGCCTTTTATTGCATGTAACTAAACTTATAACGAAGTTAAGAATATAAGGAATGAATTTATGAGGTGAACATTTTGAGGTTGAAACAAAGTTATGGATTGGAATTGAGTTATAAAATATTGAATCAACATGCTTGATAAATAGTTTATTCATATGGCAATAAATATCTTCAATTACACGTACAGCTTCAAATTAATCGCGTCAATAGAGTATGACTAAGGTTACCCAGTACTGATTATGATGACGGAAGTTGTATAACTGTTATAAAACCGGATATCTTTAATTCTGTCATAAATATTAAAGACATAAATATTTAAGGACTTTAGTTTAATTTTGAGGATTAGAATTTGGTTGAGGGTGCGATAGTGTTTATTTTTAATTATGATTATAAATAATAAATGTAATGCCAAGTTTTAATTACCTTTCCCCAGTCGGGTCGTAGGCGTACAGCGTGATCGGCATCGTTCAATGATGCCTGCGGCCTGTTTAGGATGAGCAGAACGTTAGCTCGATTGCTGAAGTGAAGTGGGCTGTTTGGTGCTAGAACATAATTACGGAAATTAATTAGTCCTCGTTAATGCAGTCATTTGTTTTCAATATTATTATTATGGTAATTATAATTGTGCGAGATTTAGCTTCTGGTTTTGATAGCAGAAACAAATCTCTTTAGTAATTGATTAATTGGTTTTTAATGGTCGTTTTTTTTTCTTGAAAAATTTGTAGGTAAAATTTTAAAGTAGTTGAAATAAAATTAATTATTTAGATAAATTGCTCAATTAATTTAACTGTTAATAAATATTTACACTGTTAATTAATATAAAATAAAATAAAGTTTATGATTTGAAATGTTACGGGAAAATGATAGAAATTCTTCAGCATAATTAACATATTTATAAGATTTATTAAACATACATTTTATTTATTTAAAAGCTATTGCAGAAATTTTAGTGTTTTATTGAAAAAAAAAAAATATTAAATAAAAATGAAAATTAAACAATGCTGCAATAAAACGAATTGATGGGGGCGATACAATGCATTGTTTTATTATTATCCTGTTCGGTTTTAATAGTAAACCAACTTTCATAATATCTCTTGTAACTTTGCGTAACAAACTGTTACTTATCGTTCCACTGGTCCAGGTATTTCACAAGATACTTTTATCTACTAATATATAACTGGTTACCAATTACATTAACTGTTATATACCAATCACAATATTTCGTCATAATCTATTAGGATTTCATTAAATCTAATTGTTCGAAATTTATTTAAGTATTAATTTAGCAATAAATCTTTATTTTCATATGTATATGATACCCGAATATTTTATTTTTTTAAATTTGTGTTTGCTAATATAATAAAAGAGATTGTGAGAAATAGTAAATTTTAAATTACATTGACACCGAGTACATCGAACTTAAGTAGCTTTCAAGCGAATGTCGAGGTCGATATTATCGAAGCGTTAAATTGACGTTCTCGTGCAAATTATACGTGTCATTATTTTATACTCTTTTAGTACAATATATATGTATACTATTCCCTAGTTAATTTTATAGTGTTGTATCATTAAACATCTTGCTTAAACATATATTTATTTATTACCTCATATTTATATGCAAATAAAAAAAAATTCTTTATTGTTTATAAAATAATAATAATGAATTTTTATCAGATTTATTATTTTTTTTTGTAATATAAATAATTTTTTAAAAATTAACCCCAAGAAAATAAAATTCTTTATTGTTTATAAAATAATAATAAATTTTTATCAGATTTGAAAAAATTATTATTTTTTTTTGTAAAATAAATAATTTTTTAAAAATTAACCCCAAGAAAAATAAATGACAAACAAATAATTCAAAGGAAAATTTATGTAAATTAAACTAAATTCCCGTGTCTTAAAAGCGAAATAACAAACTAAATTATGTCTCAAGAATAAAGATTTATTTGTCGAGTTACGATACCATAAATCTAAAGAAAAGCAGAAGCTCTTATATAGTAAATAGTTAAGTGGTAACAGAAAATTATGCAGTAAAGCCTTACATTTTATTACTATACGATCTTTGAAGTATTTTTGTTGTCATACATTGTACAAAAGTACAACTAAACCGACCTTCGTCGGCTAAGAATCCCAGAGCTCGAGTTAACGGCCCAGTAATTTGCAATAAAGGGATCGTCTACATTACACTGAACCTCAACTGAAGTGGAGGATCATTATTATTAGTATCGTCATTATTATTATCATTATTATACGTGAAGAGTAATAAAGTGTAGAGAACGATTGGATGAGCAAGTGAGAAGAGTAGGCATGCCATCAGAATGTACGTGGCTGCGGGTAACCGACCTTTACGTAACGTTAGTCTGTTTAGTTTGTACTCTAGTATACTATTATAAGTATTTATATTATATGATACTATATATGCCTCTTCCACTTGCACTTACATAGAATCACGATGCGGTCTGTATCATTGCAGCTGCAATAACTTTACTATTCATTTTTTTACCTTTTAAATTTTTTCTAATTACTTACACACTAGGATTTTTTTTTTTACTTTTTAATTATAAAATCTGATTAAAAATTTTTTAGAGACTGGATAAAATGCAAATTAAAATAATACTCTACTCCATTTAGCCCCGACTGCAAAGAACATTTTTATTCTTTTTATAAAAAATTTAAATTGCAAAAATCCCATTACCTAGTTTTTATAAATGTCACAAACTGGAAAAAAAAAAATAATGTCCTAGAAGTAAAACTAATCTCCATACGCGGTTAGAGTTTATTATTATTATATTAAACTATTTTTGCCTCCTTTCGTCGCATTCTATTGATATACGGAGTTATCACAGCAGGAAACCGGACGTGATTAAATAAAAATAACGACATTCTTTAAATAAAACGTAACATAAATCTAATTAATAACAACAGCAGCAATTAAAAAATAAATGAATTAAATAATTGGACATAAATGTCTTATTATTATTTTTATTTTCATTTTTAAACTAAAAATGATATCGAATAAAATTTAATCGGATGATGGTATAAAAACCAGAGGCTAGCTTTGTTTAGTCATGATTTTTTTTTTCACGGTCAAGTACCTCAGCCTTAGTTCCATGAAGGCCCCACTCGTTGATCTATTCTACTCACGAGCACGTCCACCAGCTTTCTCGATGACACTCGTCTGCTCCTTGACCTCAATATTCTCGAATCTCGTTCAAGTTTCTTTCTTTCAGGCGGTATTATTTGCTTGGTTTTTTTCTATCACGAATTAAAAGTATAAATATATTTAGTTCCCTTGATACCGACTCAATCGATTCTGTTTTATTTTATACGTCTCAATCTCAAGTTTTTTCCACTCGTAAAAAAAAAAATTATGTACAAAGTAACAAGATTGAGATTAATAAATAATTCGAATTAAAGTAATACAAAGAATAAAGAAAATTTATATGATTCAAGTACTTAATTCTTGGTTTAATTATACTGCTATTATAGAACACTTTATTCAAGTCCATTGACTTCCTACTTAATGTTTTGGCTCGTCAAATTCGAATACCTGAATTTTAATAGTACGTTATATCATTACTCATTGTTACATGATCATATTGTAATAGCCTACGTTTTTTTTAGATAATTTAATTTAAAAACTTAAATTACTTAATTTACTTTTACTAAAAAAATTTCGTAATTTTTTTTTCAGTTTAAAAAATTATAATAACAAAAAATTAAAATTATTTTTTTGAAGAAATAAAAATATATTACTGATTTTAAAAATCTAAATTACAAATTTTTTTTATCACAAGTAGTAAATTAATATTTACACAAATAAATTATTTAAATCTACAATTTAATTTTTGTATTAGAAATTAAATTATTTGTCGAATAAAAATCATCAATCTCATAAAATTAATTCTTTATCAAGTATTATAAATAAATTACAAAAAAAAAAATTAGGTAAATATTATTGAAAGTATATTTTAACAGTGAATTGACGCGTACAAGTGACGAAGCCAATGTGTAACATAAAATAATAGATCAAATGTTTATCCAAGTGACGAGTTGTAGTTACGGGCCACCGGCCACCACGTTTATGCGTGGCGACGTTTGCCTCCTCTACGCTATTATATATTTTATATACCTAACATTCTGCTATGTACTATTCTGGTGTATTATATACCCTATACTAGACTCTTTATACTATTCAATACAACAGTTAACTCTATAGATATAAACTATACTTCTATACTTCTCTAATCTTACATAAGCGTTTTTATTATGTAATTGAGACAACGGCGACCAATGCGGGCCATCCGGAGGACTGTTTAGTGGGCAAAATTTACCGGGAACTATTGCCCAACACTTATCTACCTAAAAACTATTTTTCCTCATACTTTCTTCTCTAAAAAATTTAATTTAATAATTTTATTATTTAATCAAAATTTTATTTATTCAAATTAAATAATGACAATTATTGAACGGATAATTTCTGCCATTTTTAAAATAAAACATCGCCAGCCAATTAATTAAATAAATTTTTAATTTAATTCCTAAATTTTAGTTTCGTGGATGTTTCATTAGATAATAACAAGCATAGCAGAGCGGCGTGGACGAGTAACTACTCAGCACGCGCTTCTATTCGCTCGGCTGGGACTTTAGTGTCAACGTAACCATTTATATAAATCTATCGTTACGCAATATATACATATACATATATAAATTTATGCCGTAAAACGATAACTAGAAAGAGATAGCAAAGGTTTGCTTTTTGGTCGCGGTAATTCGGGATTTAATTGGATTGTCTGGTGAAAATAGTCAAAAAGTACAATTATTGGTGAATGTATCAAGTATGGTGGCTTTTTGAAAATTGATATAAGATGTATGATGTATTAAAGGCTTGTGTCCGAGGGTAGGAATGTCTGTGTGTTTAATAATAAATTAACAATAACAATTGAAACTATAATAAAGCGGGATAAGATATAAATAGGCAGAGTAAGAGATTGCATAACTGAATCGAGAATGATTGGAGTATGATTCATAAGGCCGGAGTCTCGGTGGTAGCATACTCGCCGTTTATACAATCTCGACTCGAGTCACATCAACTTATTATATATCCAGCTTAAATTCAATTTCACGCACACCAAATTACTTTTATATTCGCATCTTGTTAATAGGTGTATATGTGTATAGGTATAACTTAGCTAGGAGTTAGCATATGATATCGTATGTAGGAGTAGATACCGACAGATTTAAGAGTGTGGATCATGTCCATCAGTGCATGTGTGTTTTATTACTTTCATCTCACTTGGCTTTATCACTCTCTTTTGTACACGGTATTAATCTCCGTCAGTTGTCGGTGTAATGCGTATATACTATTATGGTCTCTCTACTGTATTAATCGCAATTCATAGCTTACATTTCATTGTACTTGCTCGTATGATTCAATATTTATTACTTATTATGATTATTGTCTTCTAATTAAATAGAAATAATTATTTTATTTTATTAAGTTTATGATTGATATATAAAAATTATTTTATTATAAT